TCTATCTATCTATCTATCTATCTATCTATCTATCTATCTATCTATCTATCTATCTATCTATCTATCTATCTATCTCGTGCTTGTTGTCTGCTCACGATTCCCAGCCCAGAACCAGTTTGTCACTCATTTAACACTTAATTTTAACATGTATTGAGTTAATTAGACACCTATGGAGATGGTGTGATGTGGATTTCATCATAGTGCCAGGCGAGCTGTTCAGAACGTATTCCCAAAATGTTAAACTATTCTTTCAAACTCAGGCGATTCTCCTTTACATCAAGGGTGCAACATGAAATTTCAGGGAGGCTGTCGAGGGCGGCAGAGACAGGCAGTCGCTCGTGTGGTTCTAACGCGTGGCCTCGGCCGTTTGGTTTTGACCTCTTTCGATCCACTTTCGATGTGGTGTTGATTTGAGGCTGTCACTCAGACGAGTCTAAAGCTTCATAGGACCCATGCGCTCTAACTGTCTCAAACAAAGCGCGTCTTGTTTCTGCAGCGTGCACCGAGTCGAGTCTCCGCAGGGAGAGTTTAAACAAACAGAAAAGACAAACCTCACGTGTCTGATGATAATTTAATGCCAGAAAATGAGCGTTTATTTAGTCTTTTTCGGTGTAAAAAGGGGACATAATCAAACCAGAAGCAAACTGTGATTGAACAACAGCCACTAGAAACCGTTCTGATGCTACATCCGTCCCTGTAATAAGTCTATTTATCTTTTTTCATTTCCCCTGATTGCTGTTATTATGTGACTCTTCAGACAAGAGGTGCTGAGCTACTCCACCCACTCCCCGGTAAATACAGACAAATCGCTGGAGGACGTGCTGGGAAACCTCAACCTCAGCTCGACCATCACCCCTCAGATGATCAACCTCGGCCTCTCGCAGCAGCGTAAGTCGCTTTCTATCTGATGAGAGGCGGCAGTGTGACGGAAAACAGACACGATGTTTTCATGCAACAAACACTTTGCGTGACTCTGGTGGTGTTTTTCACAGTTGTGGATGAAGTGTGGCACCAGCAGGCGGTGTTCCGGCTGCTGCAGCTGATCGAGCTCCCCCTGTTGGAGAACCTGCTGGAGGGGAAGGAAACATCGCGGCCTTCTCTGCACGGCATGGACAGCGACCCCGACCTGCTGTACACGTCCAGCTACCTGGACAGAGAGGTTCTGAAGGCGTTCAGCGAAGCACAGTGAGGCTTTTGCAGTTATCTTGTGTTAATCAGTGTTAAGTTTCTTATTTAAATTGCTTTCTTGGTTCTAACCTGCAGGTTTTTGGAAACTCTCTGCCTGCTGAACATGACTCAGCATGTCCGAGTACGCCATGCTCTTTAACTAATAAGAAAACACAAACCTATTAAGCACACATTTACTTTTTTCTTTATTTGGATTGATCACAAAATTATGTGTTAGTGTCTAAAATATAATCATTTCAGTAGTGGTTAATTATGGAAACTATGTTGAACAGTTATACTGAGTGGTGGGAAGTACATGTACTCAAATAATACACTGCACTTAAACACAATTTTGCCATAATAGAGAATTTCTGAAACACTTTTCACATTTATTTAAAAGCTATAGTTAGCAAATATGGTGAAAGTTCAGAATTTGCATGCAAATCACATGACCAGTTTATAAACTATGATGCATCGTATGAGGATAAATACAACTACTATTAACTAACATCAATCTATGAGGCGGTTAAGATGAGCTCATTACATTCAGTTTAAAAGCTGCTCTTACACGTGGATGCATCGATAATAATGATCCAATAATATACTACTGGGAGAAGAGATTTTTGCATAATGATTACTTTAAGTTTTACTTCTTTAAGTATATTTTGTTGTTGATATTTTTCAGAAATTAGCATCAAGAAATTTGGAATACAGGACTTATACAGTGTTTATTATAGTGAGGTGTTCCACTCAGTGCTCCACTTCAGTACACGATGAACAATGGCGATGATGAACTCCTTTGTTTGCTGCTGGTTTTATATCATGTAGATGATTAGGAATTTATTGATTTATTTGCCTGGTTTAAACCCATATATGTTTTACAGTATGTCCCAAAAGTGAATAGAGGTCATCTTTATGCAGAGCAACAGTTCTTTTGTTTTTTCAGATCCTCAGAGAGTTCTTTTACCATGAGGTGCCATGTTAAACTTCCAGTGACCAACTCCAGATTTAACACACCTGCTCCCCATTCACACCTGAGACCTCGTAGCACTAACGAGTCACATGACACCAGGGAGGAAAAACGGCTAACTGGGCCACATTTTCACTTGGGGGTGTACTCACTTTTGTTTGTCATTTTGAGGGGACAGTAGATTTATACTGTTATACAAGCTGTACTACTTTACATGGCAGCAAAGTGTCATTTCTTCAGTGTTGTCCCATGTAAAGATATAATAAAATATATTTGTGACATACTCTATCTGCTAATAACTCCATGTGTAGTGGGAGCAACTGAGTTCTCTCCACATCCTTAAACTCTAAGTGCTTATTTTACCTTCCCAGTCTCGCCCTGTTGCTTAACCTTGACTCTCTAATCTGTTGACATCATTACATTTCAGTCAGTTAAGGCACATGCTACAAAACCCGCCATCGTTTGTCTAACGGCCTTTGGTTGCATGTCAGCCCCTCTCTCTTCATCCTCCTCATTTCCTGTCTGCATCTCCAAACAATCAAACGAAGGCAAACAGCCCCAAAAATATGAATATATAAAAAAAATAATACTTACTCATCCTTCTCCCTCAGGGCTGATGAGTGGATGTCAGGGGCGGTGGACTGTCTGGAGTTCCTTCCCGACGAGCTGGTGGTGGAGGTCAGTCGGGGTCTGGCCGGCTGTGCCGACGACCTGCCTCGGTGCAAGGAGCTGCTCTACCAGGTGCTGACTCAGCACTACGGACACACCGAGCAGCCGCCTCTGCTCAGCAACCACGTGTTCGACATCCACTCCGGCATCTCGGAGCTGCTCGGTAAGAGGAGAAGCGGTCGGGTCTTCTGTTAATGATGAATGCGAGTCGGATCTGAGGTTTTGTGAACTCTTTATGTTGCTGCCTTTTTAAAAACAATTATACTTGCTTGAGTTCCTTGAAGACGTTTCACCTCTCATCCAAGAGGCCACAAAAGACCCTAACGAACCCCACTGTGGCAGGGGGAGTACTAAGGACTCACATAACAAGAGGGAGGAGCAACAAACCCTCAAATAAAACTGAAACCCAGGTGTTAATGGCTCCTTAAGGATATCAGTATGTGGAACTCCCAACTAGTCAGTCAGAGCTGATGAAGCCTCTCGGATGAAACGTCTTCAAGGAACTGCTACGACTAAACTACGAGAATAACCGTGACCTGGATGAAGCTTCACAGACGTATTAAAAAGAGCTGTTTTATTGTCAGTGAACGGGAAGGTGGAGCTCGCTCTGGAGACGTTGCAGCTCAGCCTGAAGCTGCAGAACTCGCGCAGCAGGGAGGAGCTCCGGAGGCTCCTGAGATTCATGGCCATCGCAGCCAAATCGCAGGAAGTCAAACTGCACAAAGAGGTCAGCACTTCTGTGAATCTGTACATTAGTGTCAGACTTTTAAAATGTTAAAATGAGCTCATTACATTCAATTAAAAAGTGGATGCATCAATATTAATGATCCACTACTGAGAGAAGTGATTTTTGCATAATGATTACTTTAAGTTTTTATTCTTTAGGTATGTTTTTGATTTGGAGTTCTTTCTTTCAGATTGAGAACAGAATGGCGGTGAAGAGGTCTTTCTCTGGTGCCATCGTCTATAGCAGGAGACTCTCCAAAGGAAAGGTGGACTTGATGGTTCTGTTTATGATGGACAACCACTGTGACCTGTTCAAGGTGAGTTGGAGTCGGCACGTCTGCAAGAAACGTGACTGTATTTATCTCAATTCTGGATCTTCAAGTCAAGATAAATAAACTACTTTGCTCCCTTTCACCAGATCCCTGTCTCGTTGCACAAGATGGTCAGCGACAGAATAATGAACATCATGACGGGGAAGGATCCGGACATGATGACAGGTTTGCAGATTTTCCGATCAAACCTCTGGCTGTTGACGAAGACAAACTCTTGCTAATTCTTGCTTCCCTGTCTCTCTTTGCTGCAGGGTCGACATACTGCACGAGAGTAAGCGCTAAGGACTACTCAGAAAACGCACAAAAAACCACTAAAGAGGAGCTTTTGTCTCTGCTGCGGACTGTCCACGAGAACCCCAAACTCTCCTCGAAGGAAAAGAGACGGCTACTGGGACAGTTTTACAAAGGACACCCGGAGATTTTTATCCAGTACTTTGGAAATAGATTGTCAAGTGTCAACATGTTGCTACGGTAATATTTATTAATTTGAAAAACAAAAAAAAATCATGTATGAAATGTAAAAAGAGGTTAATGTGACGATTTTCTTTTCCTCCATCTGTAAATAGTTACGACTACTGAACAAGAATGTGAATTTTAATTGTAGAGACTCTTAATAAGCTGCAATATTTAAGGACGTATTTACTTTTTTTTGGTTTTTGGTGCAGGACACTAACATGCAATGTGTTCATAAGGTTTTGTACGAGACTGTTATTTTATCCAAAAGAAAGAAAACGAACCAAGTGTTCCTGAGAGATTAGTTTTTTTGTAATATTTTCACATCACAATGCATTTTGATGGCGATACATGTCTAACGATGCATCCGGACGTCGCTTATCAGTGGGTATATTGTCTGTGCTTGTGCAATAGGATCAGTGTTAGCAATAAAAAAATGTGTCGGCTTCTCATATACAATGTGATGTACAGTACAAGTATGTGTGAGGAACCCTCCAACGGAAATTTGAAACTGGAAATCTGAAAGTCTGATGTTGTTCTCTGTAGTAAACAGTGAGAAGCATTCATGAGATTCAGCCCTCTGGGTTGTTGTGTTTGTCGAAAAAAAAATCAACAAAACAGATGTTGTACTTTTGTTGTTGTTGTTGTTGTTTTTCTTCCTCAGCCTTCGTCGCGTTTCAGCGTCATCTTCAGGGTTTGAAATAAGGTTTATGTAATGTTTCTAATCAGATGAGGAAATTGCTTCCAAATTTCCAAGAAGAATTCCTAGACTAAGCTAAACCACAAACATCTTGTTTGTATTTTGGCAGGTCTCATAGTAAAATTCAACTGGTATTGTTTAGCGTTCATACATTCACGTGGCGCTGCTCCTGACGTAAAGACAGCAAATCGTATCTGAGTAATTAATCCACAAAATGTCAACAATGTTCAGTTTTGCAGGACTTGTCTAGTGCATGGAACAAACACGGTCCTCTGTTTTTCTTTCCTAACAGAGTGGCATAACTGTGAATGCTGCTTTTTTTTCTCCTGAGGTTCTCATGTCAGACAAAAAATCTGAAAAATTGCTGATTCACCTAAACTGTCCATGTGCAAATTGTTTTTTTAAAAGTAGTTTGGGAGGCCAGCACCGTTTCTTTCTTCTTCTTTTTTCTCGGCTGACATTAGTTACGCCCAGAGCGCTAGAAAACAAACCCACAGAGCTCTTAATGTGCTTTAACGATTCTCCAGCTGTAATCAATGACTTGAAACCACCACGGAGACGCTGAGAAAAGGCCAACAAGCAATGAAATAACCTAATAGTTTACTGTAACACAATTAAATTATTCCCTCCCGATCCTGTCTAAATCCATTATTTTTTCAGCTGTTTTAGTTTCCAAAAACTATCAGCGTTGCGAAGCACAAAGCAGCATTCAGGCATTACGTGGGCGTAGAGAGGTGTTCTGCATAATTTGCTTGATACTACAGTGCGACGTGTGAATAGGAGCTGAGATAGGGCCGCCACGTACTCACAACAAAGCAGTGCTGTGCAAATAATTACCTGCTGAGGACAATGTGAAAACGAGCAGCTGCCCGGTATTAAAAAATGTGCATTGTGCTTTTTTCAATCCAGTCGAGCAAATAAAGTGTCAGCTTTTGTTACGGCAGCTGATGAGTTTAGTGAGTTTAAGGTGAAAGGTTGGCTTTTGTTACTGTAAAAAGAAATGAAACAGCAAACTTATTTCAGTTGGCATTTTTAACTGTCAGGTTTACAAAGCCAAAGAGAAGCAAATCCTCGTGTTTGTTGTGTCAAAGTAAGCTCAGGAAAAATCCTGCTGTCTTCCACATCTGATTATTGAACACAAGCGTCTCATAGTGCAGCCTAGTGGTGGTTATAAAGCCTACAGCCGCTGTTGAAATGAAACGTCCAGCCCAATGGTGTCCAATCCTGGTCCTCGAGGGCCACAGTCCAGCATGTTTTAGATATTTCCTTCTTCCAACACACCTGATTCACATGATCGGGATCCTTATCAGGCTTCTGCAGAGCTTGATGATGAGCTGATCATTTGAATCAGGTGTGTTGGAAGAAGGAAACATCTAAAACATGCAGGAGTGTGGCCCTCCAGGACCAGGATTGCCCACCCCAGATCCAGCCTGAGGCAGAAAAGCGTGACAATAACACATAAGGTATCATCCATCCATCATCTATACACCGCTTAATCCTCACTAGGGTCACAGGGGGGCTGACTCAGGGTGAAGGCAGGTCACCAGTCAGCACACTCACACCTACGGACAATTTAGAATCACCAATTAACCTCAACATGTTTTTGGACTGTGTGGGAGGAAGCTGGAGAACCCAGAGAGAACCCACGCTGCACGGGGAGAACATGCAAACTCCACGCAGAAAGATCCCGGGTGTCCTCACCGGGATGTGAACCGGCAACCTTCTAACCGCCGAGCCACCCGTAAGGTGTCAGCAAAGCTATAAATCAAAACAAACAAAAAAAGCAAAGTCCAGTTGAATTCTTTTCCACTTTTATTGAAAGGAATTGTGTTTCCTCCAGTTATCTAAAAAAAGCTTCTTTCCACTTTGCCATCCCTTGAGCGTAACAAGGCCAAAACGGAGCTGTGTGCCAAAACCAATGGTTGAATTAAAAATTTTGTACAGTATAAGGGTCAGTCTTTAAAAATAAAAACTGTTGACAAAACGAAAAAAAAAACAAAAAAAAAAACACATAAACACTCAGGTGTGCATACTGTATGCATGTTTTGTGTGATGGTGTGTGTGTGTGTATGCTCGTCTTCTGTACAGAGATGAGGGGATGTATAATCTGCCGTGTACATTTCTCCTATATGACCACCTGCTAGAGATTACATTCTTGAAGGGCTCCATGTGTGTTTGAGTTTATCGGATCCTCTTCTGTTGGCGTGCGCGGTAGATGTCGTGTATGGGAGGAGCAACGGCTCCTTTGTCGTCCTCCTCGTCTGAGTCTGCGTTAGGCCTCTTGAGTGACTTGGCAACGGCGTGGTTCTCCATGGCTCCGTTGCCCTCCCCTCCTGCATCGGGCTGTCTACCAGTGATCAGCTCTACAGCAGCATCGACGGCTACAGAGAGGACAGAGAGCACAGCAGGTTTTAGGGTTTAACACACCGTCAGCACCCAAAGTGTTCATGACCGACCAACCAGCTGATAATTTCTACCACCGAAGCCACGTTGCTAATGTGGCTAAAAATAGAAAAGCTATGGATTCATTAAAAGTGCTGGTAAAAAAAAACACACAACTTACTCTCAGGAAGTGTGCATCTCCTGAAAGTTTCCATGAGCTCATCCACTTGGACAAAGGGACCCTGCAGCAAGACACAACCACAGACTCTTTGAATCCTCGCAGTAAGACAATGAAAAAATAAAAATCTGCTGCTTTGTATTCATTGGCAGTGAACATGAGCTTGATAGCGTTAAGCTGCTGCCACTTACAGTGAAGCACGTAGGCGGAGGGAGCAGCTTCATTAGGACTACGGCAGCTGGGGGGACTGGGAAAACTCCACCAGGGACGGGGTGTAGACCTGGAGCTGCAGGAGGAAACATGAGAAGCGTCGTCAAACATGAGTCCTTCGATGCATTTACTCGTAGCGGAAAGACGCCGCATCCTACCTGCTAAACTAACACAACACACAGCGCTTAACAAATCTTATAGACCATCCAGCATTAGGAAGTGCTTTAATCAATAAGTGCTTAAATTTAAGGAAGAATCTCCAGAATGATCAACAGCTTCATTCCACAAGCTGTCAGAATGCTGAACTGCTGATCCAGATATGCAAACACTTCTTTTTAAAAATTGTTTTAAGTGATTGGATCCTGAAGAAACGCTCTCTCATCTTGCCTGTACAACTGTGTATGTACAGCAAAGTGACAATAAACTTGATTTGATTCGATTTAATTCCCACTCAGCTCTTGTCGTTTTACCAGTTTTAACAGGAGTGAGGAATTTCATACTGAATTCACCTTTTCATACCCAAATTCGATCCGGCCCACTGGGCTTCTCTGAGAAGTCAGAAATTAATCAAGCGCAACATTCAACCACTAAAACAAATTATTCTGTTCAGGAATGCAAGTAAATAACTTTAATTTAACATCTTAATCAATAAATAATAAAGTGCTTTGTTACTTTTTCTGTTTTTTTGTAAAACTGTAAATCTGAAAATTCATGGATAACAATAACAATAACTATACTTTAGCATTAAAAATATCATTTTGGTTAAAGAGCTTCTACATGCTGGTGTGTTAACCATTACAGAAACATAAGAAATGATTTTGATAATTACTAATGCTGTTAATTTAGGGTACAAACCTTTTACTAGGTGGTGGTCTAATACATTTGTTAAGCCCTGTGTGCAATGATTTCTCCTACATGAAGGCTTTTATGTGTTTACTGGATTTGAAAGAAGACCCTGAGCAGCCAAAGGGGGTACGTACGAGCAAGGTGACGTGGCTGGAAGGGGATCATCTGATTGGTGTCTGGTTTGGGGTACTCAGGTTTACGGTCAGCTTCGTCCTTTAGCGCAGGCGCGGAGGGGGCCACCACGGTCTCTGGGAGCAGCGCTGCCAGTTTGGCACGAGACACATCCTACAAACACGCAGCGGAGTTAAACATCAGCTCAAGTCAACAGAAAAGCTTGACCTGTTTTGGCAGGATGCGTTAAAAAGAAGAAAAAAAAAAGAACATGCACACCTTGTATCCGAGGGCCTTGAGTTCACTGGTGGAGCAGGGATACAGGTCCATGAACTTGTATCTGTCCACCAGCAAGGCCGTTTCTTTGCCCTCGTATTCGTCCTTGAACGCGGTGAAACGCCGGCGTTCTACTTTCAGAATACTGGCCAGGTCTCCTATGTTGCTCTCAAAGGCGAGGAACCGAGCCCAGATCTCACTGAGGAAACAAGTTAACTGTCAGAGATGTCACTTTTATGACACGGACACGCAAGCGCTGTGGTTGTATTTAATGTTGACATTACCCCGACTTCTCTGGTGATAAGCTTCCTGAGGTGAGGACACGTTCAAACAGAACTCTGGTGTTGTTATCCTCTGGTGACAGAAATGACACACAAAGAAAAGCAGGGCACGGTTTCATTACTTTTGACAGGAGAGACACTTTTCATCTTTTAAAGGCGGATGCTGAGACGTCACTGAGATCAATCTGTCGGTGGAACGTACCATTAAGGTGTGAGAGGTAATCGATGTACGCAAGTATGTACTCTGGAATGTCGCCATATTTCTTCAAACCAAGCTCGAAAATCTTAAAGGCCACCGATTTATCCTGTTGAGAGAAACAGTTGAAAGTGTGCACCGACATCACATAGCCTGCATACTGATCATGTGACTACGCCTTCCTACCTTGCTGCAGTAGTATTCCATCAGCGCTGCAGTCACGTACACATGGTGACGTGTGCGTAGATCCTCCCGGGCCTTTTTGAAAATGGTGCGACCTGATTTGATGCCCTCCGCCCTCCTTGCGAACTTCATGTACTGGATGTAGACCAGCGTGGGGTCGATGTCCTCGATGGCCAGCAGCTTGTTGTAGATGCTGTGGACTTTCTCGTACTTCATGCGACTCTGACACGACAAAAGACACGTGCTGTTAAGTCCCCCCGTCGTCCCACGAGTCGGTTAGCAGCGCGTGCTTGAATGCAAAACTCACTTCTTCGTAGTCGGCAAACGAGAAGTACAGAAGCATGTTCTTTTTCAGGAGGGTCCCGATGGCACGTTCGTAGATGTTAGCTGCCTCGTCACTGAAGAGTTTGGAATTATTCATATCCTGAGAGACAGAAAAACAAACAGTTAAAGAATTCCAGGACTGTTTGACCTGGCATGTCGTGTGAAATCCGAGACTGAAAGGTTTCATCTCTCACCCCTTTCTCTGCCAGCAGCTTGCTGGACTGCTCCAGGTACTGTGCTGCCTCATACCATATGTCGGGGTGGTGGCCCAGCACCAGCAGGCACTGCTCATAGGCAAACATCACTGCACCACAGAACACAATAACGGAATACAATATTAGGTGTTAAAAAAAACCCAAAAAAACAAAATCAGTTCATCTAAAGCATGATGGAGGAGAAGAGAGAGAATCTATGCCCTCTAGTGGAGAAAAAATGTTCATACATCCTTTATATCTTCTGACTGCTGCCCAAAAAATGAACAGGAATCAGTACTTTTGAGGAATATATACAGTCGTCCTCAAATGTATTCATCTCCTTCCATTAAAGAAAAGGAAAAATTCACAATAGTCACTCAAATAACTAGAAACGGAAAAAGTAATAATAAATAAAAATTTGCTAAATTATAGTTGAGTGAAATAAGACATTGCTTTTGGATTGTGGGTGAAAAGAATTAAAATAAAAAATAATAAAATTTGTCCCGAGCACTTTGCTGATGAGCAGTGGAATCTAAACACCTGTCAACAGGTGCAGAAGTCTGATTAAGAGCTACAGAAACACTGGATAGCAGTAATTGGCTCAAACGGTTGTTCAACAGAATATTAGTTTACGGGTCCCATCATGCTTGTTTTTTTAGATATTTCTGTTGAACCACAATTCAAAAGCTATGTCATGATGTTCATTACATTTTTATTTATTACTACTTTAGTCAATTTCAACCTATTCCAGCTGTTTTATTCCTTCTGTAATGGGAGGGTATGAATACATTTATACATGTTGAGCCCAAACCCTCACCTCTCTTTGTGATGAGGGTCTGGTCTTCTGTGCGCAGTGGGTTGCTTTTCTCCCACTGGATGTACTTCTTCCACATTTCCACTTGCTGGGCCTCCTGAGGGGAGTTCTGGGGCGGGACCGAGGGTGCGTTCCTGTCCAGCCCCTTCATCACAGTCTCATACTCCTGAAATATGACAAACCATTTAATGATCAGTATTCGAAGACAGAACAAACATGATTCAAAACCCTTTGCTCCAGGTCTCACCTTAGCCACCCTCCTGGCGTTCATGTAGTCTCTACTCCGATCCTCAATCATCTTTTTGGCCAAATGCACATTGATTCCCTGTTCAGGAAAACACACAAATCAGTCTCGCGCTCCATCACGCTTCAATCAGGCAGATAAAAGACGGTTTAAAAGCCTTTGTGCGTCACTCACCTCCTCGTATTTGCTATAATCTCTCCAGAGCTGTTCGATGTTGATCATGGGGTTCACGCAGCCTCTCTGGTAAACCCTCCGTACAGCCGTGATTCTCTGGTTCTCTGCATATGAGCCCACGGCCTCACTGATACAACACAAAGATCAAATGTTAACGTTCAGGCGAATACAGTTCAGGAGGTCGTAAAAGGTTTCTAGAAAAAGTACTTACACCCCCTTCAGGAAATTGATGTAGTCTACCCAAATCTGTGAAGTCAAAGATCACCGTTAGAGAAGCACAGTTAACAGAAATGTATATTAAACCACAAATAATAGTTCGGCTCTGCGCACCTGATAAGACATGATCTCCATGCCAATTTTATCCAGGGCAAAGTCATACGCCTGGGCCATCTTCTCTCTGACGGTGGGAAGATAAACGTACGATGAAAAATGTGTATTTTACAGGAAGGCAGTGAATCAACACGCTGTACTCAACGCTACAGCTCAGCCTGTCGTCTTACTTGTAGCTGGGAAGCTTCCCTTTGGTCTCTCGGACGTATGAGAGGTAGCATTTCCACAGGTCGATGTGCAACACTTTCATCAGGCATCTCTGAAACAACTACAGCGGCAAGAGGACGTTAGATGACACGACTGAGACACAAACTCACATTGTGTATATATTCAGCAAAAAAACATCATCAGGTCATTTTCAGTGATTGGCTGATTGAATCCAAACTATGATGCAGATCGTCGGTGGTGTTTGCCAAAAGCAGCGCAGAGGGAAACAAAAACCAATTCAGAGGGGATTCCAGCTTTTATGCAGCAGAGTTGTTACTCTGCTTTAATAAAAATAACCCTCAGATGTGGCCGACAACTCCTGTGAGCTCCTCCAACTTCAGTTTGAATCATTTTTACATTCATTTTAAGACACACTGAAGGAATTTCTTAAAAGTGTGGAGTGTCACGGACAGAGAGGTTAACTGTGCCGTCAATTAAATATCATGGATTTGTGTGTGTGTGGATCCTATAGAGTAACAGTTTGCATTGCTTTGTTGTTTTTAATCGCATCACTACAGTACCCATAAATTAGTAGGTTGAAATTCAGAGAAAATACTGTAAAGGGCCTTAATTTATTTCTTTATATGCACCTTGTGTGTTTATTAGAACCAAAACAGCATGCCTTTTATATTGATTTGAAGATTTTATGATTGGTATTATGCATATTCTAGCAAAAAATCAAATTATAAGGTGACAACTAGAATATTTAGACACTCAGACGTCCCTTCCCAGATTTCATGAACGTAACGGACACTTACCTTTTCTACCTTGTCATAGTTTTTAGCCTTGATCTGCAAATAAGAGTGTAAATGCAACGTTATTCCAAGTCTCCTCGACTTTAAGGTTTACAGGAAACATGCGTTCATGCAAATGTAGTCACTCAAACTCTCTCTCACACTCTCACACACACACACACACACACACACAACCCTGAAGATCAACAAAGTGAAATTCACACAAGAATGACAAATTACTTTTAGAAAGGGGTTTATTTTCTTTGTAGTTGCGCCACATAACCCAGAAAAAAAAAACACCATTGACCATGTGTTACAGAAACAGTGCAGAATTTAAATATTTAAATATTAATTTCAAGAAAAATACTTTTAAAAAATCTGAGGGATACAGTGTCTTCCTCTGACAGCCTCAGGTGTGCGTCCTCCCTCGGTAAACACTGCTGCCGTGCTGAATTTCATAATGTTCATGTGCAAAAGCCTCGCAGCGCCCTCCAGTACATACAGGTGTGGCGGCTGGTATTTCTGTGGTGTTAGCACTCCAGACTTATGCGGGTACACCGACTCTACACCGCTGTGTTTTCATTAGTGTTAGACAAAAAAAAAAAAAAAAAAAGCTGTGTTTTCATTAGTGTTGGACAAAAAAAAAAAAAAAGGCAGCATAGACTCGACACGGCAGGGAAATATCCCCAAGGACTGAGACAGCACAGTGCACTGCTGTAAGACAACTGTGTGTATTTTTTTTGCTGGGGCCTCAAGGTGTAAAAAGTTAAGAGGAAAAAGTCAACTTCTCAACGATGTACTGACGTTACAGCTTGAAAAATAATAGTGTGCTCGCACAGTGAGGTGTGCTGATAATATTCACACAATCCTGCCGCCCTGTCGTCTTTCTGTGGCGTCCTGAGGCCTGTTAATGGAGGCAAAGGCTAAATACTGTGACTGCAATGTCTCACGCTCTATATTCACCTAGTGCTTCTCACTTCTACTGTCCACTACTGCTTTAAGGCCCCAAAACACATAATATCTGTTATCTGTGTCTACATAAGTGTGTGTAAAATATATTTAAATATCTGGAAGATGAGCACTCTGGTAATTTTGCAAAAAAAAAAAAAATTATAAAAATGGGCAAAGCATTGCAAAACTATTCAAAACTACATTTTTGTAAAAGTTCCCTAGAAGGGACGCTGCAGTTTAGAGTGCCTCTAGGACAGGTGACCTTCACTACCTACTCTAAAAAAAACAAGTCAGAGAGAAATGCAAGGCCGTAGAAATACAAGATACGAGTTTGAAGGTGAAATTTTATTTAAAAATGCTTCAAAAAACAAACAGAAAATCTAAACTGTGTATTATCCTAAATGCTAGAGTTTCTAACGTCACTACATGTCATGTGCTCAATAACTGACACGAGCTTCTCTGTAGGGAGGTTGTGTTTGAACAAGTCTGCTGACAAACTGGTGGAAATGTCCTGAAAGCTCCTCCTACAGTGGAACACGCCAGAATCGCTCTGTTCTGCTTTAAAGGTGAGTTTTTTTGTTTTTTTTTTTAGTACCGGGGGTCCATTTAACAAAGCAGGTTTAGTGAAAACTCTGTTAACCCTGAAATGATGGAGAGCTTCCCTAAAGCTGCTTTGTGAAACGGACCCCAGGTCACCCAATGTCCTCATAAAAAACAGAGTCCTCCTGAATTCAACTTCTACTGAAGATGAGGCCCTTAAAAGCACACACAATACACCTGTGTTTCCTTCAGCACGCTATTGACTTACTTTGATATGAAAAAAAAAAAGAAAGTTCACGTCAAAGTTAAACTATAGACTAAGACATCAAGAATGTAAAAGGTAGAAAAGTAGGTAGAAGGAAGAAATCCATTAGAGATGAAATCACTGTTTGTGAACGATAACTACACTGTCCAGCTTCTTAAGAATTCAATGGAAATAATCTTAACGAAGAGGTTTAAGTTTGTTCCTATGGGATCAAATCCAGCAGGCAAACAGGATGTGTTTCTACACTACAGTTACAGACATGCAGTGTTGTTCCAGCTCCACTGTGGCTACACAGAAACCAAACTGCATTCAAGTTATGAAGTAGGAACACTGCAAATACGAAAAAAAATAAAAGATCCATCCTTAAGAGAAAATAATTGAGACTCTGAGCTGATCTGAATTATGCATGTTTCCTTGTCAGTCCTGGTTTTTCCTCCCTCAAGACAAATCTTCCTCTTTGTCATAGAGCAATACAGTAACGGCTGAACAATGAACGGGAGTTTTATTTTAAAGCATGTGTCCTGAAAGAGGACGTGGCCTCTATATGCTCGACTTCATGTAACATCTTTACCTCATGTCTTCGTGTTATGGGGCCAAATATAAACCAACAATAGTCTCCAGTCTGCACACGTGCTGGTATCCTTCACTAGAAGGCACACGTCGCCACACTCAGCTGGGGGTTCTGGTTAATGCACTGGGCACAATGAACCTGATCGAGCTGGAATCTACGACTGGGCCTTGAAACAGTGTGAGTAATGGAAAAGAATTAGTGTGATTTGTCAAGGGGGCGACTTGTGCAAATTAGGTCTTTGTAAAACAATAAAGGAGCAGGACTGTCACACACTAACACCAGGGTGTATTATGGTCTGTAATGCAACTGAAAGAATAAATAAAAATGGATTAAATTTGATTTTTTGCTCTGTAGCCCTACAGGGGGATCCAATTGAGGAAAATCTACATTTAGTAAATTGAAACTACATGTGGCGGTAATAAAAGGGGGAGGCTGAGAGTTGGTCCATATACTTACCAGTAGGGTGGCGACTGTTTTCTTTACTTTTACTATGAATTACAATATGAGGTATAAAAATACTTTACCAGCAAATGCCCTGTGCTATGTTACAATGCTGAGAATTTCACTGCTTCTATATCTTCTGCAGAGCTTAAAAACTAACAAACTATATATCTAGTGTGTATCTAAAAGGAAAAAAAAGCCTCTCCTCTATGCAAATATAATTTAAATATATCTTAGGTTGGGGTGTGACATTACCTGTTTGAAGTTTAGTGGGGAAAGATGGCAGAGTAAGAGGTTAAAAAAAAAAAACAGAGACTTAAAAGGGAGTGAAAATGACATTAAGGTTTCATTTAACTTTAAGGGAGTTCACTACTTGCAATACAATGTGCTCAGAGTGAGTTCAGTTGATGGAGTATTCCTGTGTGTACGAGGAAAGCTCTACAAGTGTCCCTACATGTTTTATTATTACTGTTAGATGCACGTATATTCACAACTACTCCATTCAATACGCTAAGCTGGCCTCAACGCTTGACATGCAAAACATCTGATTACGCAATAGCTGATAAGATTTTTCTTTTTTGGATGTAGCTTATCTTTCCTATAAATGATTATAAGTCACTCTAACATCAATCTGCTTTCATCTGTCCACTAAAGCTCCACATCCCAGTATGTGTCTCATCCTGATCCTAAATACTGCTTTGTTTACTATCAAACCTACTGATTATTAAATGCCTCACCTATGACGGTTTCCCTGCCTTTCAGACGAACAAAGCACCAGTAGTGTCTGATGTTTGAACTTCCTCTTTCTCTCATCTGCTGTCCAGTATGATGCAGAACTAACCAATGACTACGAATAAGATAATTCTCTGTGTTTGCCTGTAAATGCTGTTAGAGGGCGCAACACGTTGGTAATGTAGAATCTGACACTTGTGTGTTCCTGGCACAATTACAAAAACTAGTCCCTGGAAAGCCCAGTCCATTGGGAAAAGGCAGTAATGTGTTCTTTATCTGTTTCAGTGGTTGCAGACCAGGGGGGCAAAAAGTAATGAGGGGTAGCTTCACTCGGGGAAGTAACCCCATGACGAAGCACAACGACCTCAACATAAACCTGCACTTCACGTCACAACATTGAGTTAATCGTTCCTCTTAACTGTCTGGTTCTGTGTGTTCAACACTAGCTGCAGTGGTCGTCAGCAAAAGGTGTAGGGCGTCAGGAAGTGGACTGGACTAGGTTAGCAACTATATGACTGTGTGCAAGGAGGAATTAATCATATCAATAGCTGATTGCAAAAGAGCAAAGCACGTCGATGGCGTCAAGGCAAATGGGTCACTCATCGGGTATTCAGGAGGAGTGGGGGGGGGGGAGAAACGTCTCAAGGAAAGAATGGGCCACACAATCGGAGTATTTGTTTATAAAATTACCCAAAAGAAATGACACAGGAGGCAATAAATTGACACGACAAGTGAATAAAAGGCTAATGCACTCCAATACTATTAAAACAGTTTTAATACTGTTGCAGACCAAACATGCAACAAATGCACTTTAACCCCATTTAAATACGGCGCAGAGAATATGTTGTTTTTTTTTTCTTTTTTATAATCCTGGGAACATAAGATTTTTGTGAAAAAGAAATGGTTAAGAGCTAATTTCCCCTTTGTTTGTGTTTAAAGGCACAGTTCTTTATGAATCCTGCTGGAGCCCGACAAATTTAAAGTTAGGTTTGATATCATTCTTTGTGTGTTTTCAATGCATCATGTAGATATTTTCAGGTGGGTTCAAATTGTGAAAACGTCTGTGTTCGTTACTCTTCACCACCGATGTTAGATTTGTGATGAAAACTATACAAATTCGAGCTGATAAGTCCAACCGGCGTAGCCAGGCTCAGCGATTCCAAACAAGAACTGTGACTTTAAACGTCATTGACGTAAAGAGACATTTTTGGTTGTGTGAAAATCACATTGTTGATCATTGTTAGAAAAAAACCCAGCCATGCACACTAAAAAGAAAAGAAAAAAAGTATTAACCTCAGCTTCAATGAACAGTTTCCAGAATCTGCCAGAACTTGGGAACTGCGAGACAAGTCGCTCGTATGTCTTCCTCGCTTTATCTATGGGTTGGTTCTAAAGAAGGAGAATGCTTTTACATTCCATACCATTAAACACATGAAGAAGCATAATGTGGGTGGGAAAAAAAAACAAAAAAAAAGATGTGCCTTGTATTTTAACAATCTATAACCCCCACCCTTAGTGTCCCAGTTTCCTTAAAACCACCTCCCCGCCTCCCCCAACCCCCAGGAATACAACTCTGTGTCACTAAACCTGTGCTTCTCGAATCAGAATGCTCCATGCGTCAAGGTCATATGGATTTTCTTCCAACTTCTTCTCTGCCTTCTTCACCTTCTCGGGGATGTACTCTGCTGCTGCCTGGCGAGACAACACAAAGGCACAGGACAAAATGGTCAAGCCTCTGAATGTGTCTCAGGGCCCACGCTGCTGGAGAGGGCCACCACACCGCTGAACACACACATGTGGATGGGTTAGGCGTTCATACACGGGGCCTGGATGCTTGCCTCTGCAGATTAAGGACTCTCACATATTTCATAGGTAAAAAAAACAAAAACACAAGATATCATTTGCCCCCCCACCCCCACTAGCTAGCTAGGTCCTGCTAGCTGGCGCCAATGAGTAGCATCCACCACAGTGAAAACTACACTTCGTAAAGCTGACTAGCTAACTAGCAGCAGTTGCTAATAACACGTTAACATGCAGGTAATCTTAAAGTTAGCTCAACGTGTGGATAAACTAGCGTCAAGTAGCGACAAAGCTAAAAACTAGTCACACTCAATATGGCGTACAACAGGCTAAACTTATAGCTTCGCGTTCAAAAACCCCGTGCGAATTACGACGAATTGTACGATACTAGCTATTAGTGCTGCATAAAAAAAGTCACAACGTAATGCATTTAACTATAACAATGTCGACTTCCAGACAGTATCCTTAATAACACACAAGCTACATCATGCTATCTTAAGCAAGAGCTAGCTTGCTGCACGTAGCTACCTGGTCGGCTGCTCCCTCCGTCGACATGGCTGGAAGAGTAATCTGGGTTAGCAATCTTTAATCAACCGGATTAACAATCAACTAATAACGTAAAGCAAGTTTTGTTTTTTTTGTTTTTTTTTTTTTAAACCGCTAAGTATTCGGCATAGCTTCAAAGGGGTCGATCACATTGCCCTTAAGCTACTAGCTGCTCAACGGCTCGCCGATGTCTTAAAATGGCGTGAAGCTGTGGATCCGCTCCGCCAACGGCAACAACAAAAACACATCCGGCAGCGCCCCTTCAAAATAAAACGCCAATAAAAATAATAATAAAAAATAAAAGTCTGACTAAGACGAATCTCTTGAAAAACACTGCCTCATGTAGTAAAATATGTTTTTTTTTTTTATTATTATTGTTTTTTTTCTTTGTGTGTGGAGGTGTAAAATAAAAGCTGGTTAAGCATTTATTTCTGCCATTTCTCAATTCAGAATGAGTAGCCACCTCGCTGTCAGCAAGATTAATTTACTTTCAACAGCAAACTCTAGCTGCTAACAAGCAAAGCCCACCAAATGCCCTGCAGTGAACACAAAAGTCTTCCTGCACTCCCAGCATCACAGGAATTGAACATCCAGAGGATTGTGCACCTAACGCAGCAAATGTATTTTGACGTATGACAACAAGTCAGAACTATGTGGAAACTCTGGTGCTGAAGGACATTCAGAGAGGGTGGAAACTTCAAACCACATTTGAAACCAGCAAGTAAAGACTGGCTGTGGTTTCACGTGTTTTCATGTTGCTTGTTGTGTTTCTATGCAACCTAAAGCCATTATTTACATCTCTTTGCATCTCTCCTGCCCTCTCTGCTTACACATCGTGCATTTAAATACAGCTGAAGTCCCAGTAAAGCTGTTGTCAAGGACATATTTTTATGTTTCTGTTGTCATTTAATGGAACGACTAACACGTAGAGACAGAATTGCGCCTGTTTAGTCACTGCAGAGCCATTTCTGAGAGCAGTTTTTTTGCACTGGTATTCCACTGATGTTATAATCCTACTGTTTTCTGATAATCTCACCATACACATTAATTAAGATCAATGCAAAGAACCGTCTCTGGAATGCATTTTTGCACAACAGTAATAAATGTGCTACTGACGATGGATTACTTGACTTCTCAAACTGCACGTTACCAATAATACACTGCATCCTCACACTGTGCATCATGTATTTATTTATTTATTTATTTGCCTGTAGGGCGATGGGGTTGTACAAGGTGATGCCTCCACTCCCTATGAACAGCATTTCCCTGCCTTCATCTTCTTTATCCATAGAGCGTATTACATTTATCCGATTTATGGCCTCCTCTAAAGTGCTCGCTGGGCAAAAAAAAATATGTATGCACACTGCAAAAACTTTAGCAAACTATATGTCACTGTAGTGAGTATGCGCTAATGCATGCCAAGCACGTGCATTCCGGTGATTCATATACAACTGCAAACCAGTTTTATAATTCTGGCCTATAGGCGGCTTCACTGGTCATTTGACAACTACAGTTGTGTTTTAATGGCCGCACTCCTACTTGTAAGGCTTTAAATACGATCCTTGACTCACTCTGCGTGTAAAACTATGCGTGATGTTTTTGTCATTGTTTACCAAAATCATCAAACATCTATCAACCGACAACAAAAGCTCGTTTTGTTCTGCACAATGCTGGTCGCCTTGTTGGCCAACAGGGGGAGACAAATGACAGCCACCGAGAGCGCGCGCTTGTGTGAGTCTGGCCAGCCACCAGACCAGACCAAAGCAGAAGAACACAGAGTAGTTTTCCAATCCACAAGTAAACAAGTGGCCTTTTTTTTTTTTTTTTTTTCTCAAATCACATAGAAAACTATTATAGCACTCAGGCATTTATGATGTAAATGAGCCAACTATATGTTTCTTTAGTTAAACATCAGTTATTTTAGTGAGTCCCTATGGGCTCAATCTTTGTGGGGAAAAATGATCATCTAAAATTTTAAAATCATGCCTTGATTTGATTTAACCTGAAATATATAACATCGTAAGACATTATTGATTATGTTTCCTTAGTCAAAGATATCTTCTGGAATGAGACCAAGAGAGGCGAATATCACCACTCTTTGCTGTCTTTCATGAGAATCTAAAGGGCGTTATTGCGGGGCTATATGTGTGAGTCGTTCTAATTCCTCTACCACCACCCCAGCTGTGTTTACTTATGATAAACCAGGTTAGACAAGAGGTGTTAACACCTGCTTTCCAGGTCTGGTGTTTGTTGTCTGTAACTGGGTTGGGACGGATAAAGTCTGACAAAGACAAATGTCTTTTGGTGGATGAGATTACAGCTGGTCCTCTCAGACACCAAAGGCTTATGAGCAGCTTTCTTGTCAGCTGGGTGCCTCTTGACTGTCTGAGCAGTGGACTTTAGATTGTCCACCCCCACTTACTTCCTTAAGAAGCCTCTGCTGCTTGCACTTTGCTGAAGAATAAAGGAACTGGAAAAGATATTGGTTAACGGAAATTTCAGAAACTGATTTTGTCTGATTATTGTTTCGGTGTGGAATGGGTACTCAAAGCATTTTACTGTGCGTTATGCCATATATAACCCTGTTTGTGACCAATAAAGGCCTTGAAACCTTGAATCCTTGTACAAGATCTATAATTTATAACACATTTGTGTACACCTTTAAGCATATCAGCACTTGAAAAATACTGAAACAAATACAAGTATGCATTTAAAGCAAAATATGCAATCGTCCTCATCGTCTTGCCACTCACTGTGAGCCTTCTCAGCTCAGTATTGTAATGTATTAATATTCTAAGAGCTTCATCTATCTGAAGGATGATTATCTTATCAACACTTTCCCCTGCAAATACCAGTGGAATAAATGAAGAGTTCATTTGCAAAAACAGATAACTCCATCTTCACAAACCCTCAGAAAACCCACTTTCCCATCGGTTACCTGAGACAACATCAATCTAACTTAAGTTATCTCTGTATTTGTCATGTCATGTCAAATCCACTCAACTTCAGTTTGATTGATAATATCTCAAGCAAACAACAAAAAAAATAATTTTCTGAAAATCTACAAAAATGGAGTTATCTGTTTCAGCAAATGAACTTTTCAAATACCCAATACTGAACCAAACCAACTTAAACCTCTAGTGTGTTTTGGTCAGATGTGAGTGACGTCATAACCCTTCAGATCACAAAGTCCAGTTTTTTAAAAAATCTATCTCATACTTTTAAATACACATAATTTAACATTTTGCTCTCCTGCCTTTCAAAATATTGGACTTTTCTTATGAAAAATATTTCTCAATTTTGTATTGTGTTGTAACTAATGTGTTGTATAGTAAGAATTAGGAGGGCAACATTAAAAAAATATATGTGGATACATTTACTAACTATCTAGTTAAAATGCAGTGAGTAATCTAATTCAAGCATCACAACATTAATGTTACTTTCTTTTACTTTTGGATTACCTCAGTGTTCAATATGCAAATAAACTCACGAGGAAAGAAATATCACTATGATGCCTTTTGCTTGAGTGTATTCTGTATGAGTAGTGTGTGCACATGTGGTACATCGTTCTCTATTTTAAAAATGTTTTTGAAATTCTAATTATGCTATTAGTACCCTTTATTTATTGAATCAAGCCTGTGCACGTCATTCCACATACCTCAGAATCCTCAATCTTTGTGAATGTAGCTGCTCTGCGATCGGTTGCTCCGGTCTGGCCAATGCCGTCAGTTCACAAACATTTCCAGTTGCTAGAGAAAAGGGACATGTTAGAGGCAGGAAAGGCCGCGGAACCGCACGTCTAGACAGGGCAACGGACACCCTTTCAGAGATGGGCAACATCGCCCAAAGGGGAAGGAGACGAATTTGAACTGTGTAGCTACCACCTGGGCTCGTCGTGGTGTTCCTGGACGCTTATATGCAAGAGTTATTTAATGTTTAAAATGTGGGAGATGGTGGCGTTACCGAGAGCGAGCTCTCCCTTCCTGTCGTCTAGGACAAGATGGCAGCAATGCAGGCGAACTGTGCATGGTATGGATTTATAAGTCCATAACATGTTCAGAGAAGCCCTGGAATATACTTATAGTGACTCTATGTGAAGGTGAGTAGAGGCTGCGGGTCGTGATGTGTGTTTAGCTTAAGCCACGAAATTATAGTTTTTAATGTGACGTAATACAAAGTCACAACTTAGCGACAAACTTAGCAAGCGAGCTGTCATCCGTTTCGGCTGTTAGCTGCGTACTGTCAGCACTTTGGGGCATTAATTTTAGTATAGGGGGATTATTTTTGTTATTATTATGAGTGACGTTGGTGGGAATTATTAGGAGCCCTGAACACTTACGTGCTTTGCCATTTCAGTGTTGTCACAGGCACCCGTTAATTTATCTTTCTGCCTAACGGGTGATCATTGTCGTCGTTACAGTTTATTATCCTAACCTTTTTACTAAATGTACAGTTTGTGAACAATATAGACCTCACTGGTGAGTTAGCAAAACATTTTTATTTTATTTTTTTAGCATAATGTTAATGTTAATTACATCAGGCGACGGAGTTTTGAATCCACACAGGGCTGGTTTTGTGTTGAAGAGGAAGTACAGGTTTTATGATCGAGTTCCTCTCTGTGAGGGTTTGGATGTGACCACCAGCAAAAAATGAAAGTCCTCTGAGTTACTGTAGGGAGGATTGTTTAGCTGTTTTGTCGTTATTAATGTGGCAGTAACCAAAAATGGTGAAACTGGGAGGAGATTTTTGATCCTTACATTGTGACTTATACATCAAATGGGTAGATCTTTTGTATATGTATGTATATTTTTAATTACCTGGAGCACTTATCTAATACAAATAGTTCATAAGAGGGTAATCAGATTTTATCCAAGTTTGTTAAGACGAGAATCAAGACCCACAGTAGTAAAAAGAGTTTAGTTTGAATTCAACCACTTCAACCTCAAGTTGATTAAAACATCCATAACAGTGAAGCTACCATTAGTCACTATTGGTTAATATCAAGAACCTTTTAAACCAACACTTCTGTGATTCCCCTTTGCCTGGACACTCTTATCAGCCGAACATGTGTCACATTGTGGGTGGTAATGACGCCAGTAATGACTGGCCAGCAAATAATTGTGTAAACTTGTGTCTTACCCCCACAGTAATTGGTATTAGTGGGTAATGGTGGTTGTCGGCAGGGCGGGTTGGCTTCCAACTGGTGC